ACTCTTTGCGCTTCCGCCGTACCCGCGCGCCACGCACACCAGCTGTTGCGCGCGCAATGCACGCCTCCTCGTTTCGGCAAAGCCAGCTGTTTCGGAAATTCACCGGATGTTGCCGGTGCCATGTTGACTTCGAGAACGATTTCCTGGGCAGCGCCCGCATGTGTGCATATCACCCTGCAGCGTGTCACGGCGGCGGCGGGGGACACCGAGTCCGCAGCGGAGCCCGCCACGGCGCCTAACGCCGCGCCCCCCGCGGCGCCGGCCCCGGCCGCAGCCGTGCAGGCCGCGGCCCCTCCCGCGGCTGCAGCCGCACCGGCTGCGGCCGCGGGCCCGTCAAATGCGACGACGGCCGCCATTAGCGCCCTCCTCGCCCAGCGCATTGCTTAGTGGTGCGCTCGCCTACCTCCTGCGCGACGCTCACTCGAGCGCGTTGTCTGACTTGGCGCGCGCGCAGCGCGCGAAGAGGTGTGAAGAGGGGGGGTCGTGTCCGGTGTGAAGGGTAACCCACGAGGGTATCAGCCTATCCTCTAGGGGCCCAATGCGGGTCCTCTCAAGAGGGTATCAGGGTATAGCCCTGAATTTGATACTACACCAAGCTGAAGTACCGAATCCAGGAAGTGTCACCGCACCGCCCCCGGGTACAGTGCAGGGTGGTGGCGAGAATGAGCACGCCCACGACCAGCAAGATACGGATCCTCTGCCTGCACGGCTACGCTCAGAACGCCGCCTTCTTCCGCCAGCGCACCGGCTCGCTGCGCAAGGCGCTGAAGGCGGTCGCGGGTGACTTTGTCTTTGTCGACGCACCCTTTGCAGCCACCGCCGGCTTCCTAGGCGACATCAACGCCGATGAGCGCGGACAGTCGCTCGGCTGGTGGACTTTTGACGAGGCCACCGCCTCGCGCCCGTCCCTCTCGCACGAGTACGCTGGCGTCGAGCGGTCGCTCGAGCTCCTCGACGCCACATGCGAGAGGGAGGGGCCGTTTGACGGCGTGCTCGGCTTCTCTCAGGGCGCGGCGCTGGCGGCGCTGCTGTGTATGCGTCGGCGCACCCTCTTTCGCTTCGCGATTCTCGTCGCAGGCAACGCGCCGCCCTTCTGAGACCCTTCCGAGACCCT